AGGAGGGAGGAGGGAGGAGGAGGAGGCCGGAGGGAGGGAGGGAGGAGGGACGAGGGAGGAGGGACTGTTAAAGGAACAAACTTTGCATCAAGAGTTTTGGGACCACTTCGAATACCCCCCGCCCCCCCGGCCTTAATCTATGCTTCTCTTTGACTGTCGCTGCGTCGGGCCTTACAATATATATGGCCGTCTTGACCGTGGGGGATGCACGCAGAACGCCAGTGTTCCTCTTCCCCTCCTCGTCCTCCTCCTCCCCCTTCCTCCTCCTCCCCCTTCCTCCTCCTCCTGCTCCTCCGCCTCCTCCTCCTCTTCCTTGACAATCGCCTGCGCCAACGCATACGGCTGGGATTCTGAACTGTTTCCACCACGGCCAGGTGTAGCATTGTGGTGGTGCTACTCTTTGTCAGGCAGTGTTTCGCACAGTGTCGAGGGTGGCCGACACGCGGGAGCGAGAGTCTGTTCGGGCAGGGCCTCGGGGTGCACCTCACGGGCAAGGTGAGGGAGCCACTGGGTCAGTGTGAGCTGCTGTGCCGGGAGACAAATATTGAGCAGTTGGTCCCGGAGATGAGCGGCCAGGAAAAAATTAAACCAACGATCTCGATCGCAACGCATTCCAATATTGAGGCCAGGGGGTGGAGGGGGGGAATTCGGCTCTGTGTCGTCGGAGCGTTGTTGATGCATAGTTTTGAGGGAGGAGGGGGGAGGGATGGGGTGGGAGGGGGGAGGGAGGAGGGGGGAGGGAGAGAGGATGGGGGACGGCGCCCCGCCAACACCTCGCCAACACCTCGCCAACATGGTGGCGAGTCGTTTGCGAGATCTAGCCAACGCCTCGCCAACCCCACCAATGCGTTGACGAGACTTTGGCGGGGTCTCGCCAACCGTTGTCGGGGCGTCGGGGCGTTGGCGGGCGAGGTTCTGGCACTGCACCCCGCCTTCGCTGTGGCTGTGGCTGCGCTGGCACCTCACCCCCGGTTCCAACTCCCCCCCCTCTTCTCCACCTGATTTGTTTACTGTCCTGTTTGCCGCAGGTGCTGCTGAACCTCCTGCTCTGGCTCGATCCGTTCGGCGACCCGGCCTTCCGTTGGGTGGACGCGGTGTACGCGGCGCTGCAGCCGAGCGTCGCTGTGGAGACCTCGGTGGGTTCGGTCGTCCTGAACGACCCCGAAGGCGCTCGTGCCGCCCACACCCGCCCCACCCGCTTGCAGCGCCGCCGTGCTCCTGCCTCGTGGTCGCGGTCCTGCGTCCTGCCCCTGCGCGGCCGCCCTCCGGAACCTCCTCGTCGGAACTCCCTCCGCGCCGCTGCCTCGTCTTGCTGCTCGGCCCCCTCCTCGCCCCGTTCGGGTCACCCGCAGGGGCGGGACGATGACCGCGAGGGCGCGAGGGTACCTGACCGCGCTTCTTGCGCCGTGCGGTGCGAAGCGCGAACATGGGCTGGCATGCCACCTGCCACCCTCCTGGCCATGCTCTCCTCCTGCTCCTGCTCCCTCCCCAGATCTCCAGCGAGTGACTTCTTAGCTGGCGAGGTGCTCCTCGATATCTGCTCTCGGGGGGTCATTCTCGAAACCTGGGACCATGAAACACGGACTGGAGACGAAAAATACCCCAAGCGGAGCGGTCGAGCCTTCTGGGATCTTCCGGGGCCGCGGATTGACCAAATCTGATCGACGGATGTCGCGGCTGGCAGCTACCCTTAAGTCGGGCCCGTCCCTCTACAGGAGGAATATTCACAAATAATTAAGAAATAGTCTGGGGATTTTTTTGAGTATTTTTTGACAACTTTGGAGTATTGTTTGAGTATTCTTTATTTGTCGTCGAACACCTCCCTGTAGGGGGACACGCCCGACTTAAATCTACCCGATTACTGAGGGCGCTTTGGGGCCAAGCTGGCCCGCCAGTGCCATCCCTTCCTCGTGCTCGGCAGCGCGCGTGATGGAGGCACGCTGGCGGCGGCTCTGGCCTGGAGACCTCCTCCCTCCTTTTTCGTTCGTTTCCCTCTCCAGAATATCCCAAACGGGTTTAAAAAGTGAGATTTTCGACGAAAAATGAAAAGTACTTAAACAGTATTCCAAACTTGCCAAACAATATTCAAAAAATAGTTCCCAGACTATGGTTTAAACTATTTTTGAACATTCCTCCTGTAGAGGGACAGGCCCGACTTAAGCCTGGAGACCTCCTCCCTCCTTTTGCGTTCGTTTCCCTCTCCTTCCCTTTCCATCCTCCCTCCTCCGGGGACACGCCATGAAGAGGAGGGGCCCGAAGAGGAAGGTGCTCGGATGTTTTTTCCGCCGTCGTCGGCCATCCTGTGCGCACCTCCCGGGCCACGGGGCCGCCAAGAGCAGCCCAGCATGAGAAGCTCGTGCTGGGGAAAGCCACGGGGCCCAGACATCGGGCGTCTCGAACAAGTCGAGACAGATGCTTTTCCTAGTTTTTGGCCTCTTGGGGCCCTCGCCGGGCCTCGGGACCGTCACAAAAGGGCTCGGGATGAAAAACCGGCTCCAGGGAAGTGGTCGGGAGGTCGGGGGCCCGCTTCTCGAAAAAATCGAGACGTCGGATGTCTTTCCGGGCGGCGGCCAAAAAAGCGGACTCACGAGGGCGAAGCATAGTTCGACTCCCCGCGCCCCCCTCCTCGCTGCTCGGCCGCGCGCGCGCCGCCCGAGTGCTGCCGGCGTGGGCTCCGGGCTCGGCGGGAGCTGGCGGCTCGGGAGTGCGGGGGCCCCCAGCCCGTGTGGAGACCAAGCCGCGTCTTCCAGCACAGCCCGACGTGCTTCACGCTCCGAGGACGCTCCGGCCGTCCGCAGCCCTCTCCCCCCTTTCCCTTCCGGCCTCCCTTGCCGCCCGAGTGCTCAGGTCGCACGGCAGCAGGCCTGCCGTAGCCACGACCGCAACTTGGATCCAAGGCGCTGCTGAAAAGGCGCTGCTGCTAAAGCAGATGTGAGTCAGTGGGGGTTCGGGGCACGTGTCTGGGACTTGGGTTGTGGACGTCGATTAATGGAGAGGAAGCACGCTGCCAGATAATTTCCAGATGTCTGAAACATATGTCAAACATGTTTCAAGCATGTGAAAAACATGTTCAAACCATGTTTAGAGTATTTATTTCGACACCCTAGACACATATTAAACTCAATGTAGAATTGTTAGAATGTCCATTGTCATGGCATCCACAGCCCTAAGGACACGTCTTGTGGTGCGGCAAGGAGGGATGGAGGAGGAGGTGGCCGAGATCCCCGGGGGCAGACGTTGCCAAGAATTGCGGTGCGCCAGCTCCGTCGGCCGAGGAGGCACCAGCATCACCCCGTGCCCGCGGCGGGCCCGCGCCGCGTCGACGCGGCAGCGGCCCCAGCCTGGCTGGGCGCATTCGAGATCGAACGCCGCTGTTGGGCTGGGATCGGTCGATGCCGACCGAACCTGCGCTGTCGGAAAGCCACAGCCGTTCAGGGCCGAATGGTCCCCGCGGTGTCAGAAACCAACGCCGACTTCGACACGACAGCAAGCAGCCGCACGCACCTCCGCGGCGTACCTGGCGGCGACATCCGCGGAGAGGAAGGCCTGTCTGTCGGGTGCCCCACGGGAGTATTTTGTTCGCTGGTGACCCCAGGTGTCCTGGGCCTCTTGGCGAAGCTCGAGGTCCTTGAAGACTATGTTCCAACGTGTCTTGCCTGCAGGGCCTCGCCTCGCATGTGACTGCCCGCTGCGTTGGGCAGGGGGTCTCCCGCCGAACAAACGGGCGTCGTGCGCCGTCGTGGGCCTCCCCTGTCTGCACCAGTTCCTCCTCCTCCTCCTTTCCCCTTTCCCTCCTCCCCGACCTCCGCCCTGCTCGACCTACCTCTTCCTCCCTTCTCCCTCCCTCCCCCCCTCCTCGACATCCTCCCTCCCCATCCATCCGCTCATCTTGGACGGGTCGGGGTGTCTCGTTTCCTTCGGCACGGTGCCACTGCAGGCGACTACGAGGTGCTGTTTGGCGACGTGTTCAACGACTTCGCTGCCTCCATCAGCGACATCTTCGTGTCCAGCCCTTTGCGTCTGGCCTGCATGGTCGTGGTCACGGTGATGGGCGCCCGGCTATCTTCCTGCCCTTCCCTCGGCCAGGGCTCTGGACGTTGCGAAATTGACCGATTTCCCAGTTCTTGGAGCAGCAGCATGAGCAGGAAAACGAAGAAGGGATGGTTTCAGAGGAGTTGTGCCAGAGGTGTGTCGGCCAGTCCCTCCTTTTGTTACTCCCCCTGTCATATGGGCGATATCGGTTTTGGCGTTCCCGCCTCTTCGGGCTTCCGGCAGCCCAGGACGGCCCGAGGGGCCTCCCGGATCGTCCCAGTGCGGCCCAAGAGTTCCCCGAGATGGCCCACGACGGCCCGAGAGGGTATCACGACAAGGCGTTCGGTTCTGCCCCCCCCATGAAGCATGAAGCAACGCCCGACGGGCCCAGGGAGGGATCCCCTTTTTTCGCCCCCAGAGCACTGAAGGCGCAAGTCTGACGGAGGAAGCAAACGAGGCGCTAGCTAGCGCGAGCTCGGTGCAGTCGGACCGAGGCATAAGATCGAGGTCGGTTCGGGGAGGGTATCCTCGTGTTCTTCGTGTTTGTTGGATATTTTTGCGCATCCTGGGGAGGCTACCCTTCTATGTTCCGTGTGTTTTGGCCGGCGGAGGGTCTCGTGTTCTTGAGGGATGTTTTTCTGGCCTTGGTCCGACTGTAGGCGGTCGTTTCTGTTTGAGCCAGTTTCGGCCCAGAGACCGGGCATGGACAAGGAGGGCACGATCAGGGCTTCTGCGTGGGATGCCCTCGGCGTGTGGCGCGGGCTGCGGCGGGGCGGGTGCCCTAATGTTCTTCGTGTTGGTTGGATGTTCTTGTGCATCCTGGGGGAGGGTACCCTCGGTGATCTTTATGTTTCGGGGTGTTTTGGCCAGCGAAGGATGTTCTTCTGTCCTGGGTCCGGCCGTCATGGACAGACGGCGCGTCGGGGTCCCGGCGAGCTTTTCGAGGACGTCGACGGCTCGCCGCGGAAGTCTGCGGCCAGAGGCGAATTTCGGTCGCAACCCGTTCGTCCAGAGCGTTACCGGGAATCCTCGGTAACGGATGATCTGGGCTTGGGGAGAGCAGATCGCCGAGCGCGTTCCGCTACTCGCAGAGCACCTACTCGCAAACGTCCGAAAACACACATGTCTGCATCGACGTAGTGCATCGCACATGCCCACGCGCTTGTCTAACGAAGGATAGAGAGTGGTTCGGCCCACGGCGGCAGCTTTCTCGGGCGCGCCAGCGTGCGTCCCCAGCTCATCCGAGTCCCGTCTGTGACCGGTAGAACTTTTGGGCCGCGCGTCGTGCGCCGCCTGCTCTGGTCCACCACGCTTTCGGCGCGCGGTCCACCTCCCGGCCCCCCAGCGTGGACGTCCCGAGCTTTTCCGCTCCTCCCGCCCCGCGGAGGGGAGCGACACGCTGCCTGCTCGCAGGGCACAGCGCGTCGCCCTCTGGAACGGAGGCCACAGGCGAGATGCGCCCGCCGCGTCTGCGTCCCGACGCCGCTTGGGTTCAAGCGACGTCGCTTTGTGTTTGACTGTCTCATTCGTGGGACACGATGGCATCTGAGTAACGCAAAAAGGAGACGTCCACTTCCTTCGACGATGCACCCTCTACTCCTATGTCGTATTTTTCGCGTGTCCGATCGTACCTATTGCATGGATAAGTCGTGGGGTATCACATCACAGTGACGAAAGTTTCTTTCAATCTGGTTTCGCCAATAGCGCATCAACGCGGACCAGTTCGGACTAGAAATGTTCCAACTACTCCGCCCGTGGACACATCCAGCTTGATAATTCATAAGGTCAGGCGCGGCGTAGTTTCCGATCCGGTTTTGTGGTATTAGACGCAATGGGAACTACTCCGCCGAATGATGCAGTCATCATGTCATGTTAGGAACCTTTGGATGGATAGGAGATATCACCATCATGGCAAATTGCAGAAACTTGTGTCGCGGTTGTGTACGGCACGGTTAAGGCGTGGTTTTGGTTACGGCTCACCATATCCATTTTGATTTGGTAGCGGACGTGGCTTCATCTGCATGGGGCTGGCTTCATCCTTCATGCTGGTATTCCACAACACAGAATGGTGGACTATTCCGATGGTGGTACATCATGCTGCGCCAGCTTCCCTTCAGGGGTCAGAGCCAAGAAGCTGGCTTATCCGGGATCGCACAACTACCGACGGCCACGTCGGCGTTCACGTGTACGCCATGGTTATAAGTTATAAGTCATTACGATCCTACTCACCATCATCCCATTGGTATTTTTGTGTCTCACTCCATATCCCCGCAGCGCACACAAGCGCAAGATACCAGCACGCACCCTGCACTTGTCCGAAGGCTGACGGCCACGTCGGCCCACAATCAAAACATACTGATGGACACGTCATCCCACAACCACGACGACCACGACATCACCAACACCGATATGACCATGCACTACATCAAGGTCGCCATTTTTGGCATCATATCGGTGTGTCTTGGTCCAGCGATAGGGCGCATGCAACGGGAACACTGAACAAAACGGGACCTTGCTGGCAACGTTTTTTTCCACGAATTCTGAGAGGAGAGTTGGATCTACGCAGCGACTCAGGTTACCGCCGCCTGAGTTGCGAGGCCGACAACGAAATTAGGGGGCATGGCATTCGAGGTGCCAACCTACTGTGTGGACACACGCCGAGCGGACAGGCGTGTGAGGGATGCATACTGTAAATCGCATCGACTGCAAGTAAGATTCGGCCATTCCGCTGAAACCCGAGCTGCAGCTCGCAACTTGGAGGACGGTTACCTTTCCATCGTAACGCTGCGCGAGCTCACGGCTGAACCATTTACTCCGACACAAATCAAGAACGTATCTGTCTTCAAGCCTTTATCCAGCAAGGAGCTCAAGAAACCCATTGATTGTACCCGATCTGGCCACGTCAGTTGAATATGGCAGATGATGGTGGGAGGTATCGTGCATGGCGTGCAGTGGTGTGGATATACGTGACATGACGGCCGATAAACACACCAAAGGCTGTATCGACCATGAACTACTCCCATACGTGATGGCAGGTATTCAGTCATTCAAGTATGAGGTAACCAGGTACATTCCCTACAGAGGGAAGCTGACAACGGTTTCCGTGCCTTGCCCACATCGGGCCGGCGGCCCAGGCGTGAGCGCATGCACGGACCCATGCTTGCGTCCGCCCGGTCACGGGCTGCACGTTTGTAGCTGCCCGGTCACGGGCCGTGCGCTTGTTGTTGCTCGGGCGCGGGCTTCAGCCTCCCTTGCGTTGCGAATTTTGGTGTGCGAAGATCTCTTCGGATATCCTGTCTGTTCATGGGAGCCTTGGGCGGCGACATTGAAATCAGCTTTTCCTGCATGTGGACAGCGTGGGGACTGCATTTGGCCCACTCCTCCTCTCCCCTCCTGTTCCCCCTCCCCCTCCTCGTTCTCCTACGCAGCCCCCACGAATTTAGTCCAAGTCTGGTCCAAATCCGGTCCAAATTTGTTCCAAATCCGGTCCAAATCAGGCCCAAATTGGACAGTGCCGGGGGCCACACAGGCTCCCATGGAACGGACACCAAAACTAATAGCGTATACAGGTGGACCCGCTGCGCAGTTGGAGCGCTGGGTCTGCCCCCTCTGCGCGCACGGCTGCGCCAGCCGAGGGTGACGCTTTGCCAACGGACGCCGCCTGGGCTCAGACGGTGTCGCTGATCTGGCTGTCCCATTCGTGGGGCACGATACGGTAGAGGGAAAAAAATAGTGAGCACCCCCCCTGCCCCCCAAACTCAAAGTTGGCACGCGCGGGGGAGACTGCGGTCGAGGTGCAACTCATCAGACCCACCGCCAACTTTGAGCATTGGGGGGAGGGGGAGGCGTTCACAGATGAATGTGGCATGAATGTTCGCTATTTTTTCCGAGGCCTGTAGCACCTGAGGAACGGAAAACGGAGACGCCCACCTCCTTCGACAATGCATCCGTTATTCCCATGTCTTATCTCTTTGCCGGTCTGCTCATAGGTACTGGATGGAGAAGTCAGGGGGTGCTCTAGCACGCTGAAGGCGTAGTATATGGTACGGCTGACCACCTCCCCTTCGATTGTCGCCAGGGCCGGCGCGGCGACATGCTATCCAACGCATCCTGGGTGTAGGGGACCCTGAGCCCCCGCGAGGCGCCAGCCTGGCCGCCTTCAGCTCCGCGTTCATCGGGCCGCGGCTGCTGGCCACTGTGGCGCCGCGCCTATCCACGCGGGGGCGGCGCGACCGGCGCGGCGCTGCTCTTCCTCCTCGCGGGCTCTTCGAGGGCGGCAGCTGCCCGGATGCGCCTATTTTGAAGCGCGGCACCTGCCGTGTTCAAAACGTCCGTGTCAACTTTTTTTGGTCGGCGGGTCGAGAGCGGGCCTCTTCTGGTTAAGAGCTAACGTCCGTGCCAACATGCAGCGTGTTGTTTCGGCACGTGTTTTGCTTTTTTTTGGGGGGGGGGGCGTGCCGCGCCGGGCCCCGACGTTTTGAGTCCACGCGCTGAGCGCTGCATCGGCGCTCTGCGGGCTGCGTGTTGCGCATCGGGGCAGCTGAGGGCCTCTGGGCTCCGAGTCTGGCAGGCTCGCGCTCCTCGCAGGCGCGGGCCCAGGCTCGCGTTCCGCGCAGGCGCGCCCCCCCCCCCCTCCGCAGATCCCTGGCGAAGCGCTCTTCTTGCAACGGGGGGGGTTTTCCCTGGCTCTGACCCTCGGGGGCCATATTCGGGCCCCAGGGCTCTAAGAAACGCATCGGGGACGAGAAGCTTCCCCGAGGGAAGCGGTCGGGGGTTTGGGGCCGCGGAGGGCGAAGCACATCGGCGGAAGCCAGGGTCTGAGATCCTGGCGTCGCCGCTTCTGCACACCAGCGTTCGCGCCGTGGCTTTCTGGCCATGGGGCCTTCGCAGATCGAGGCGGCTCGAGAGATGTCGCGGAAGGATGCGGTCTGGGGCTCCGGTCGTGATCCCTCGCTCACGCTGCTGTGTTTTGTCGCGACGTCGGATCTCTGGGCCTTGCGGCCCTCCTCGCAGGCCCAGAGATTGACACCAACACCAAATTCGGCGGTGTGCCTCCACCGAGGGTAGAAGATCCCGATCTCGGTGATAGTGGTGACATTCTGGCTTCCAAGGTGGCCGAAATGTTACCACCAACATTGAAATCTAGGATCATCTTCCCCGTGTGGAGGCAACCCCCTGTGTTGGCGTTGGTGCCCATTTCCAGGCCTCCAACCTCCAGAAGACGTCCGAGGGGGCTCGGTATCGTTTAACCAATCCCCATCCCCATCCCCATCCCCTTCAAGGCCCCCGCCATTCCCCCCCCAGTTGGGGATACACCCCTCGAAACCCGAAGGGAACGGCCCATATCTCCATCTAGGGGGGCAATTCGGCCAGTGGGGCCCAGGCCACCCCGCTGGGGATGGGGATCGGTGAAACGATACTCACTCTGGAGGCGCGCGTCGAGGAAAGCCAGGACTTCGGAGATCTGGAGGCTCCAGCCCCTACTCCGTTCTGCCGTCGTCGTCGTCGCCGTCGTCGTCGTTTCCACTAAACCACGTTTGGCTAAAGGGGGTGTTGTCATGTTCTGTCCATCCCCGGGTGTTGGGACATGTCGAAGGCCTTGCGGGCTTTCCACTGGGTCCCACCTCGTGGCCACGGACGGCTGGGCCCGCAGTCGAGATTCTGGCCGGAACGTATTTACAGAGATGTCCGATCACCGATATTTCTGGTTCGGATTGCTCCAGCGTCTTGACAAGAACGAGCCTGAAGTGTTTCCTCTTTCCGGACGCCGGGGGCTGTTTTTGGGCAACAGCGCTTCGAGAAGCAGTTCATGCTGGGCGGGGCTAGGACGATAATAAATCCGTGCCACAGCGTTCCGGAGTGCTCTAAGGAGGCTCTGGCGCTCGAGACATCCTCCAGAGCCGCCGGATCTCAGAGATTCTCAACGTAACTATCCTCGCCCGATTTTTATTCTCGTTCTGGCTTCGTCTTATCATGATGGGAAAGCAGCTCCCAGAAGGGGGTCGAGAGCGCCATGGCCCGTCACAGACCAACTTAAGGCACTTGGGCTGTGCGGGGCTGGGGCTGCTCGCCACTGTGTTGCCGCGCATATATTCGTCGCCGCGCGAGCTTCGGTTCGCGTGGCGGGCCCACCACCGCGCCACTCCAGACCCCACCAACCAGGCAACGTGTCTGGAGATCCCAGGCGAAGCTGATCACAGCACACGCAAGGTCAACCTGTCCGGTCTTCTCTGTTGCACGCCAGAGTGACACCAGGCAGATTTCTCAGAAGTCCTTGGTCCTCCAAGGAGTCCCTGAGGCTTTTTCAAGACGTGGAAGGATTCCTGAGGTGTTCTGATGATCCCCAAGGACTCCGAAACATTATTAATCATCCAAGCACGTTCTTCAAGATTTCGGTGGATTCCCAAAGGCTCCGCAAATTGTCGTTGGATTGTTCAGGGGTCGTATGGCTTCCTGCGGAACCTATCGGATTCCCAAGGAACCCTAAGGCTTTCCTAAAGAATTCGCTGGGATTCTTGAGGATTCCCCGTATGATTCCGAAGGATTTCTCCGGATTCCTTAGGATTCTGTCGGATTCATATGATTTCTAAGGATTCGTGAGAACTTCTGAGGATTCCTTTAGGTTTTTCTTGGATTCGACCCCCCCGGATGACTCGGATGAAAGGTGTTCCCTCGGTGGCAAGGACATGATGGTTTGAACCTTTGCGCCAGCGCGCACCTTCGCGGGTTTAATTAAAGTACGGCGGATTCGAATTTTGTTTGGATGTTTGTTGCGTTGGCTCCGATCTCCGTTTGCGAAGATCAAATTGCAGATGTTGTGGATATAAGTTGCGCCCTGTTTTGTTCGCACGAGTCTGACGTATACCTTGTTCTACCCTCCTGATATCAAAATCATGTGGGGGACCGAGAGAAATCGGATCCGCAGCACCCATGCCCGCCGCGGTCCAGATTCTACGGGGCCGGGGGGGGTGGCTACGAACGTCCACGGACCCCACCAACCCTCACGGCACACGAGTCGCGGCCAGCAGGAACGCATCTCTCCTCGCCCCCCTGGGGGCTGCTCCGAACATCCTGCTCCCCTCCGCTCGAGGCGAGGCACACTCGCGCGCCCCAGCTCGCGGGGCACACCCGCGCGGGCGCTCAGGGCGTGACCGGCTGTCGTGCCGCGCGGGCGCCGGCGGGGCCCCGGCGCGGGCGTTCAGACTTAAGCGCCGCCCGCGGCCGGGAGGCGGCCGTGGTCGAGGGGTCCACGCTCTCGGGCGGCCGCGATCGCTCCAGGTCGAACGATCCACGCGGTGTCGGTCGGAGGAGTGAGGTTCAGGAGGACAGTTATCGGGTTAGATGGGTCTGTCGTGGGTGGACAGGGCCCCCAACCTGACACGTCGATGAGTGAGTTGTCCGTTTTCGGTTCTCGAGAGTGTGGCGCGGCGCCGGCATTTTCCAGGCTCGCGCCCGCCAGGTTTGGGCCCGATGCCGTTTCCACGAAACCGCGTTCCACTGAAGGGGGCTCTGTCCACCCCCGAGGTTGGGAGAAATGCGGATATCCTTACCCGTAGGCGGCCGAAGGCATCGTCCACTGCATCCGGATGCTATCGCTCGTGCCATCCATCCCCCCAAACAACTTCCTCCCGACACGATAGCGGCTCTCCCTACCGATGCCGCTGCCCGTCCCTCGTTCTGGCACGCGCGCTGGGCCGCCCGCGAGGCCCTCGTCGCCGCGGCGTGGTTCCCTTCGAGCTTCTCTCTGCTCAGGGCGCGCCCCGGAAGAGGTCCCGGGAGAGCGCGGCCGCTCAGGGGCGGGAGCCCGTCCAAGTGGCGCGCTGGGCACGAGCGCCCGCCGCGCCCACCTCGTGTAGCGAAAGGTCTTTTCCTCCTCCTCATCCTCATCCTCATCCTCCTTTTCCACCTCATTATCATTATTCTTCTTCTTCTCCTCCTCCTCCTCTTCCTCCTTTCCTCCTCCTCCCCCTCCCCCCGCTGGGGCGAGCAGGAGTGGGGAGACGTGCCCCCTCCCCCCCTGGCGCGGACTGCCAGGACCCCGACTGGAAAGCGCTGGGGCGAGCAGGAGTGGGGAGACATGCCCCCTCCCCCCCCTGGCGCGGACTGCCAGGACCCCGACTGGAAAGCGCTGGGGCGAGCAGGAGTGGAGAGACATGCCCCCTCCCCCCCTGGCGCGGACTGCCAGGACCCCGACTGGAAAGCGCTGGGGCGAGCAGGAGTGGGGAGACATGCCCCCTCCCCCCCTGGCGCGGACTGCAGGACCCCGACTGGAAAGCGCTGGGGCCCAGGAGTGGGGAGACATGCCCCCTCCCCCCCTGGCGCGGACTGCCAGGACCCCGACTGGAAAGCGCTGGGGCGAGCAGGAGTGGGGAGACATGCCCCCTCCCCCCCTGTCGCGGACTGCGAGGACCCCGACTGGAAAGCGCTGGGGCGAGCAGGAGTGGGGAGACATGCCCCCTCCCCCCCTGGCGCGGACTGCCAGGACCCCGACTGGAAAGCGCTGGGGCGAGCAGGAGTGGGGAGACATGCCCCCCCTCCCCCCCGTCGCGGACTGCCAGGACCCCGACTGGAAAGCGCTGGGGCGAGCAGGAGTGGGGAGACATGCCCCCTCCCCCCCTGGCGCGGACTGCGAGGACCCCGACTGGAAAGCAAGGACCGGTCCGGGGAGAGGCGGTACACGTGGTGCATTTCCGATCCTTCGAGGGCTCTTTGGTCTCTTGGGGGGGGGAAGATCTTTGCACTTCTGATGGTTCTGTCCTGGGCCTCGCCCTGGCCATCTGGGGGGCCAGGAATCATCAGAAACGAGCACCATAAGAAATGAGCACGGTTAGAAATGAACGACGTGCATCATTCTCCTCATTTTTTAAAAGAAGAAGTGAACGGCGTGCATCTGTAATGGAGGATGACGATTAATAAATGACCGGGGGTCGTGTTCACGCGGCGGCGCCCGGGATGACGATTAGAAAAAGCCGGCCGCGGGCTGGACAAATATTATTTTTAATCGTTCTCCTCCAGTCAGAAAATGATGCAGAAATAGCAGAAAACTATTTGTTGAATCGTTCTCCCCCATCTTTTTATTAATCGCCATCCCGCATTACCTGTCTGCCCCCCCTGGTCAGAGACCCACGCCGGGGGGGCCCGGCAGGAGCCTGCCGTCATGAGGGGCCTGCGGGCGTCGAGGGTGCCCCGCGCAGGCGTGTGTGGCGCCGGGGCCTCCCGCCCCCCGGGGCGCCCTGGAGTTCCGGGGCGCAGTGCGGAGAGCAAGGGCGAAAGCTACAGTCGGGCCGCTGACATGTTTCAATTGGCGACGACGAAGGCGACGGACGACAGCCGAACGACAGAGGCGCGCAGGGTGGGGAGGGGGAAGGGGAGGGGGGAGGGGGGGAGGGCCCCGGGGGGGGCGCACGCGCCAGGCGCAGCCCCGCTCAGCCCAGCGGCGGGCCGCGGGTCGCCCTGGCGGGCCGCCTGCCGCGCGCGGCGCGGCCGTGCCCGGCCGCCTGACACGAGGAACTCTACACGGGGAGCGAAGCCCCTTTCTTGGCCCCAAGAGCGCCTGCGTGGACGAGGGGCGCTGGAGAAACAGCCGTGGAAGGACCTGAGGAACATCGGGCCGCGTCCGAGTCCAGACTGCTCCTTGCTTCGGCGTCTCGGCTGTGCTGGCTCGTGCGTGCTGCAGCAAGGCCTCTTGTCGTATCGGTGTGATGGTGTCTCTGCAGCCGCGTAAGGCCGAGGAGAGGAGGCGCTGGGGAAGGTTCCGCTGGGTACCGAGGTGTTCACTGTCACCTTCTCGCTGGGGGCCTGCGTGATCATATTCCAGGATTCCCTCTGTCGGGGAAGGGCGGAGGACGCAGGAGGGGGAGAGTGGGACAGGGTGAGTCGTGAGTGGGGAGGGCGGCGGATGATGAGGATGAGGGGGAGGAGGGGGACCAGTGTAAACCCAAGGGTCATCAACGATGTTGGAATAAACCCTCACTCCAAGCTCCCTCTTCATAGGCCCCTGCAGCGGTTCACTTCCACTGAGGGAACTGCCTCGTTGGAAGACAACCGTTTCCTGGGACTACAACACTGCGATTCAACGTAACTGTTGCACCCTCATAATCCGGAATCCCTTCCAAACATTATTTCTGGCACGCTGATCATGTGAATCCGTGAAATTGTTGCAAATGTTAAGCGAATACGCGGTGCTAAGGCGACAGCCACATTTTGAAAAGGCACCGCCCTCAATCCGTGAAACCCTTGCAACTGTTTTTCAAAAAGAATGTGCGCGGCACTAAGGCGAGAGCCACATTTTGAAAACGGCCCGCCCTCAATCCTTGAAACTTCTTGCAAACATGTTTAAGACGAATGAGCGGTGCGCTAAGGCGAGAGCCACATTTTGAAAGCCACCCGCCCTCAATCCGTGAAGCTATTGCAAATGATTAAAACGAATGTGCGCGGCGCTAATGCGAGAGCCACATTTTGAAAACGGCCCGCCCTCAATCCGTGAAGCTCTTGCAAATGTTTAAAACGAATGTGCGCGGCGCTAGGGCGAGTGCATCATTTTGTAAACGACTCGCCCTTCATTTGTGAAACTGTTGCCGTTGTTTATGCTTCAGGGTCATAAGCGGTGGGGAAGTCTCTGGCGAAACGCCCGCCCCGCCCTACAAACTGGCCTCGGGGTGCGACAGGGAGAAATTATTGATAAGGAAAAGGAATGGAGGAGGAGGAGGAGGAGGAGGAGGAGGAGGAGGAGGAGGAGGAGAAAGAGAAAGAGAAAGAGAAAGAGGAGGAGGAGGAGGAACAGGAGGAGGATGAGGGGGAGATGAGGAGGAGGACGACAACGACGTGGACGAGGACGAGGAGGAGTACGAGCAGAAGGCAGAGGGGGTGGGGGAGATGAGAAAGAGGGGGGAGATGATGTCAGGGTCTGAGGAGAACCAGGCGAGGCCGCACACTCCCGTCTTACCCAGATGAACAACCGAAAGCCCCACCCTCCTCCCCATATTCCCGCCTTTTCCCCTCTCCTTCGACACTGCATCTGCCTCGCGACCTGGGCCCCCTGGGGGATCTCGACCACTACCCCGGGGCTGGCTTTTCATCTTGAGCCGTTTCCTCAAGGTCCGAGAGCCAGGAAGCGGCCTCGCAGAGGCCGAAACCAACGAGTGACACGCACGGATCTCATGTGAGCAACGCAAAATCGCCGGGTCGTCTTCGCCGACGCTGGCGCGTAAGGTGCCCGCGTGGGGTCGCGCGTAAGCGCCCTCTCTTCCGATGTAGCGTGCCGCGCTGGCGGCCCGCGTCAGCCGCCGCGTCAGGTCGCTATGTCGTCGTGCGTAAGTCCGCCACGCAAATCTTCACACAGACCCACCCCAATGGATTGTTCCTGGGCCTCAGGGGAGGGTTGCCGTGTACTTACCAGCCTGGAACATGTCCCTATCCCTCTGCTGGGCATCTCCTCATCACGATGCCAATCTTAGGGATTCCCTTTTTTTTGAGGGCGGCTCCCTAGGATTGTCATCGCCTTCTGGCGTGTCGATCGTAGGGATAGGGATGCGTCCGAGGCTGGCAACGTACGCCTCACAACCGCGAGCCGGCGACTCTGCACGCCGCCACCACCCGCCCCGGAAGGCACGGGCAGCATTTTCGCGGCGTGGTCGTGCCCCCTCCTCCTCCTCCTCCTCCTCCTCCTCCTCCTCCTCCTCCTCCTCCCCCTCCTCCTCCTCCTCCTCCTCCTCCTCCTCCTCCTCCTCCTCCTCCTCCTCCTCCTCCCCCTGTCTGTGCACTGCTCGCGCGTGGGCCTGGAGGCACCGGCCGGCGCCTTCCATCCCGATGGCGGCGAGGCCGCTCGGGCTCCCCAGAGGCTGCCTTGGGCGGCGCCGCTCGGCGCCCTGTTCTCCTGCTCCTCCTCCTCCTCCTTTTTTTTTTTTATCGGCTCTCCTCCTCCTCCTCCTCCTCCTCCTCCCTCCTCGTTTTGCTCCTGCCCCTCTTCCGCCTACTGCGCTCGCACTCCTGCCGCTCCTCCATCCTCCTACGTCCTCCTTCGCCGTCCTCAGTCCTTCCCCCTCTTCTCCTCCACTTGTTCCCCTTCCTGCTCTCCCAGCTAAGCTTCTTCTGGCTCCTGCTCCACCCTCCTGCTGCTCTTCCTCTTCTTCCTCCCTCTCCTCCTCGTCCTCCTCCTCAGTCCTCCTGCCCCCTCCTCCCGCCCCTCCCTGTTGAGCGACGATGGAGGAGGGCGAGGAGGCCGAGGAGGAGAAGGAAGAGGAAGAGGATGCGGACGCGGGACAGGAGAGGGAGCAGGAGAGGAGGAGGAGGAGGAGGAGGAGGAGGAGGAGGAGGAGGAGGAGGAGGAGGAGGACGGAGGACGGAGGACGGAGGAGGACGGAGGACGGAGGAGGACGGAGGACGGAGGACGGAGGACGGAGGAGGACGGATGAGGACTGAGGAGGAGGATGAGGAGGAGGAGGAGGAGGACCAGTGTAAACCCAAGACTCACCAACTATCTTGCAATAAACCCTCCCTCCAAGTTCCCTTTCTTCCACAGGCCCCCACAAGGTTTCATTTCACTGAGGGAAGTGCCCCGTTGGAAGACAATTGTTTGAACATCCTGAACTGCGCCAGAACACAATCCCTGTGACTTCAACGCCGCGGATTAATGTTACTGTTGCGCCCTGGCGATCCTGAATCGTACCAGAACACCACTCCTCGGATTCCCACACCGCGAATCAGCGTCACTGTTGCGCCTTGACAGTCCCACATCGTGTCAGAACACAAAGTCTAGGAGGCCAGCCATAAGAACCTTTAAACGTTCGGTAACCTCTCAAGACGAATGTGCGCGGCGCTAAGGCGAGAACCACAGTTTTAAAAAGGTACCGCTCTCCATCCGTGCAGCTCTTGTAAATTTTTAGGACAAACGCGCGCGACACCGAGCCGAGAGCAGCATGTTGTAAACCGCCTGCCATCCATCCATGAAGCGTTGGTCATTTATTCGACGAAGGTGCGCGGCGCTGAGACGAGAGTCACATTTTGAAAGCCGCCTGCCCTCCTTCCGTGAAATGGTTGCAACATCTCAGCTCAAGGGTCAGAAGTGGTGAGGAAGTCTCAGGCGAAACGCCTGGCCCGACCTACCGACGCATCTCGGGGCGCGACAGGGAGGAGTTTGCTTGTAAGGAAAAGGGATGGAGGAGGAGGAGGAGGAGGAGGAGGAGGAGGAGGACGATGACGATGTGGAGGAGGAGGAGGAGCAGGAGGAGGAGGAGGAGGAGGAGGAGGAGGAGAAGGGGGCGGGGGAGGAGACGAAGGGAAGAGACGGGCGGAAGTGGTTGTCGCGCTACCCTCAGGGTAGGGGCCCGTGGCCGACACATGTGGCGGTTCCCTCGGGGGGGCCGCCTCCATAGCAGTGGAAAGTGGAAAGAGGGGGAGGGAAGGACAGCAGGTGAGGAGGAGAGACGGCCACAGAGGACAAAGACTCTCCCCCCCTTGTTACAGGCCCCCTCGCCCTCCGACGTGCTCGGTGCTGGAAGCACTGGATCGGCCTCCAGAAAGGACGCCGAAGCCTGAAGTTTCCGGTCGGGAGCTTTGGGATGGCGGGTCGCGCCGCCGGTTCTGGCCCACCACGCTTCGGCGCGAAGCGCCATCCACTCCTTGGCGCCCCAGCGTCAACGTCCTGAGCCTTTCAAGGCCTTCCGCCCCGCGGAGCGGAGCGACACGCTATCCACTCGCAAGGCATAGCGTGTCGCTGCGGCCGCCGCGGCGACACGCTGTCCAGCAGAGTCCCGACCGCAGACGCTGCAGAGCCGCTTGGAGCCCCCATGCCTGCACTTCGGGACTGACCCGCCCCTCGCGCGGGGCGCACTTGGCCGCGGAGCTTCTGCTTTCCCCGCTTTCTCCGGGACGTCGCACGCCGCAAGACTCCAGTCGGGCCCGTCCCTCTACAGGAGGAATCTTTAAGAAATAGTCGAAGCATAGTCTGGGGACTATTTTTTGGGGCATGTTTTGACAATTTGGGCGTATTCTTTATTTTTCATCGAAAATCCCCCCTGTGGGGGAACACGCCCGACTTAACGCAAGACTCGAGACCATCCCTGCAGCTCCTCTCGGGGCGGGGCCCCAGACCGCGCACGCATGCCGCCGCTGCCGCCCCGCGCGCCACCGATCGGCAGGCCGCGCCCCCCAACGGTCCAGGGTCACCTCTTGCGTGTGGTCGACGCCGCACTTCGGCGAGGCCCTGGACCTGAGTCGGGCCTGTCCCTCTACAGGAGGGATATTTTCAAAATAATTAAAAAATAGTCGGGGGACTTTTTTAATACTATCTTCGACTATTTGAGGAGCATTTCTGGAGTATGTTTAATTTTTCGCCCAAAATCCCCCTGTAGAGGGACACGCCCGCCTTAACCCTGGACCCTGGTCTTGTGTTGCCCCGGTGCCAGTGCACAGGAGGCTCTGGCCACGCCTGGCCCGCCTCTGGAACGCCCCAGGCCCCGTGCTGACGGCCGCCGACGGTCCTGGCTCCGCAGCGGCACTCTGCCCGCCGCCCCGCGGACGGCGGCCTGCCAGGGGGCGCCTCGTGGGCGCCTCGTGCGCTGGCGGGGTCGGCCGAGAGTTCGCCTGGAGCCCGCCCGCTGGCGCCTCGCGCGCTGGGTGAGGAGGAGGGAGGAGGAGGAAGAGGAGGAGGAGGAGCAGCAGGAGGAGGAGGAGGAGGAGCAGCAGGAGGAGGAGGAGCAGCAGGAGGAGGAGGAGGAGGAGGAGGAGGAGGAGCAGCAGCAGCAGCAGGAGCAGGAGCAGCAGCAGAGCAGGAGGAGGAGGAGGAGGAGGAGGAGGAGCGGAGGAGGAGGAAGAGCA